TCCTTGGCAGAGGCTGGCCTGGTCTATGTCTGGGGGATTCTGGAAGCGCCTTCCCCAGCATGGCTGCACACGTTTGCAGGGGAGCAGTTTGGAATTGGCTCTGTTAAGACCTCAAGGGCCTGTCATAATCACCGCCGAACCATCCCTGCTGATAGTGTTCTTTGGGGACCGCCAAGGGTACTGGAAAGAATCGCCATTCTCAGAGCAGACACAAGCAGCTCCCGTGTTGGAGAGGTGCAACAGCTGAGACCTGGAAAGTCACCCTCGTGACCCCAGGCCACAGAGAGAGCGGTTGCAGGCCTCAGCAGACACGCAGCCTGGGGCGCTGGGTGTCTGTGCAAGTCTTCATGTGTGTATAATGCTTTGCACATGCGTGTGTATGTGATTATCTGTGTTGGTGCATGTCTGTTTCCACATCTTGACCTGTATGTGCCGCTACGTGTGCGTCCTGTCCGTGTGCTCGTCTCTGCATGCATGCATCTGTGTGCATGTCAGTGTTTGTGACTGCGAGTATTTGCGCCTGTCCACACTTACCCGCATGTGTTTGGGCTAAGGGATATGCCCAACTCTTCTCGAGTCTGCCGTCTTCTAAGAGGCAGTCTGCTCCTGGGATTGTCACATACTGCCATGATGGCTGGTGTGGCAGTGGCCCTTCGTCACCATGAGAACAGGGTGAAGTTGATGGGACAGAGAGAAGGGAAGAACCTTAATCTTGGTGTTGCCTCTGTGCCTGTGACTTTGTCTCCTTAGAACCTTCCTGTTCTTAAGCAGGTGATTTGCTGCGGTCTATCCTGGGTTTTCTGGGACTTGTAGCTGAATCCACCTGATAGGGAGCCCAGACCATTTTACTTCTCGTGGTTGTTTAACACCAGAGGTACTGGCCTGAGCCGCCCACCTGGGGAGATGATGCTCTGTGACTTTTTTCCTCTGTGTGTCTGGAGGCTTGCCAGTCCCTCTGCCATCAGATAGGATGCCTAGAGGGGCTGGGTAGATGCCTGATCTTCACGCTGGACACTCAGGCGTGTCGGCTGCATTCCCGTGGGCGAGTGAATAAGTGTGGTGCCGCCAGCTGCGTATCTGTTTGTCTCTGCGAAAGCAGTGATAAGAGCTGCCTGTCATCATGCATGGGCCAGCCTCTCCCAGCTGTCAGCACGGAAGGCAACTCCGTCCATGTCCTGCCTGTGGCTGGAATTTGGTCCTTTGCCCAGACATGGTGTGCCTGGAAACGGCGCCCAAGGCTTCGCATGCCCTCCCTCGAGCTGTCTCTCTGTCTACCTGGTGTCTGGCTGGGGTGTGGGGGACTATGTTTGCTTCCGTGGTGGGGGACCCTGAATACCTGAGGACGTGGGTGGCTCTGCTCCTGCATTCCCTCCGCCCTTTTTCTGCCACTGAGCTCCCCGGCTGCTGGTTCTCAGGCATCCTGGGTGAGAACTCAAGTGTGAGGGACTCTCCAGTGCCAGGCACAGGTCCTCTGGAGAGGTCCTCTGAGGTCTCCCTCCTGCTCTGGAGCCCTGGAGCTCTGCTTGCCTGCCTCTCTCTACTCCTGTGCTCCCAGCTTGCATTGCATGACCAGGCCACAGGCTGTAGCATCCCTCCTGCTGGTCCTCTTGGGCTTCTCAACTGTCATCTGGAAGACAGGTGGGGCCGTGTTACTTGCAGGTTTGCAAGAAGCTCCAAGAAGGTGGGTTGCAGTGAGTGGCAGTGAGCAGCAGGCCTACAGCTGAGGCTGCTTCAAAGGGAGCCGCAGACAGAGTGTCTGCAGCGGCCACCTGAGCCAGCTTTGATGTGGCTGTGTGGGGACAGCCTGTGGGCAGAAGTGCTAAGCTGGATGAGTGGGCCTGGGGCTGTTTCACAGATCTGTGGGTCAAGGTCAGGGGTGGGGCTGTGCCTTGCAGCAATGTCTGCTTCCCTGGCCCCCCCACGGAACCTGTGTCTAGACAAGGATGGGATAACATGCTCTGTTGGCCAGCAGAGGTAAAGCTGTGGAGCAGACAGGTCTTTGGGCCAGACCTAGGCACTCACACATGCAGGCAGCCAGCAGGCACCAAGCAGTCCCCACAAAGTGGCTTTGTCATCGTGGGGAGCCAGGCTGCTCCTTTCCAGAGTTCCCCCTGTAGTTAGAATTCTGGGTTTGCAGGTCCTGCAAGGGCAGGTTTGAGAGCCTGGGAGCCTGTTCTTCCATTTAGCCAGGGTGTTGTCTCCAAGAAGTCCCTTTCATTTCCTAGCCTCAGTTTTGACATCTGTACAATGGGCATGAGAAATGGCCCACATTTGTCATGCAAGTCATTTGTCACCTTGACAGGCAAAAGGTTTATTCCCATCTCCTAGATCAGGGTTTGCCTGGTGATACCACTCCCCAAAACGCTCTCCCCCAGCAGGATTCTGCCTAGCTCTACCCTGCAATTGCCCTTTGGATCTGAAATGAGTGAATGCAAATCTAACCATGGAAGGAACTGGCACTGCCTCCTGGGCACACAGACCAGATGGCTGCATTGTGTCCCCAGTTCCTCTGTTTAAGGGGAGGTTTGTTCCCAGGGGCTTGCATCGCTGCTGTCCCCCTGTTCCAAGCCCAGCAGTCACTCACATGTGGACCACTCGCTGCACTGTGACAGGGCCCCCGAGCCATGGTGACAGTGGGCAGCATCCGCTAAGATGTCATTCCTGGGTGGAGGCAGTCAGCGTCAAGCACTTGCCTGGTTCGCTCCTGCCCCGTCCTCCGCTCTGCCTCCTTCCCAGCCTTAACTCTGACCTTGGCAGAGGCAGCGAGTCCTCTTTAGGTTTCCCTGTCTGCAGGGGCCGAATATGACTGCCTTCCTGGGAGGCAGAGCTGGGTGGCTGGTGGGGAAGGAGCCGCGGGTTGGCGAGGCTCTTCCAGGGAGCCTGTCCTGGGCTACCCTGCTTGCAAATCCCTGAGCTGCTGAGGCCAGGTCTCCCATACCCCAGGAATGCTCAGCTGACCCATGCCTTGTAGCTGCATTCCCTCTGCCACACGACGCCCATGCCTGTCGCTCAGGCCCAGCCCTGCAGGCCTCAGACACTCCTGTGCAGCCTGACCCTGGCCCGGATGGGCTCCCCAGAGTGGTGGCCGGGTCGTCAGCAGCCACAGCTCCCTCCCACTGCACGCTGTGATGGCTGAGGTCATTGCTGGCTGGGGCTGCTGGCCTGGGCCCAGGGTAAACAGGCGGCCTGAGATCGCTGCTGTGCTGCTGGGCGCCAGTGAGCTCGAGGAGCCTGGAGCTGGGCCGGGAGCACCGAGGGCTGCGGCCTCAGGTCACCCCAGGGGAAGGGTCACGGTGAGGCCTGGTAATAGCAACAATGACACCACACTGGGGTTCTCGCCAGCCAGGAGGTCTTCAAAGAACTGTGTTTGGATCTTGCTTCTCCGTTCTCACAGTATCCCTGGGAGATGGACTGCATTGTTCCTGTTTTTCAGATGGCAAAACTGAGGCCCCAAGTGGCTAAGTTCAAGGCAGACTGATCCATGGACAGGGCTCTGTTGGGCTAAGGGACTGCACCTGTTTTCCCACCATCTTCTTCATGTCTGCTTAGGACTCCAGCATCCCTCCCCTCCTTGTCAGGCACTGTGTCCCTGTGCAACTGTCTGGGGGCAGGAGAGCTCGAGGCCCACAGTCCCAGAGTGGAATTCTTGCTTCTTCCCGGATTGCCTGCTCTGCAGGACTTCAGTGTCTTCCTCCAAGAACTGGGCATGGTACCACCCCCTCATCCACAGGGTCTGCACGGGGCCTGGCACAGGACGTGGGTGCTCTCAAGGCCAGTGGTCTCCACCCACCCCAGCCAGCCACCACCCTTTGGCTATTTCTGTGTCACGGACAGACATGAGGACCGAGGGCCTGGCTAGCGCGGTGTGTTCTGGGCCTGCTGCTCCTCGGCTGCCTTGGTGAACGCAGGCCCAGGGACCAGCAGAGACTGCTGACTCTGGGAGAGGCCGGGAGGTGGCAGGGCCTGAAGCCCTCCCCAGGGGTGGATGTTGGGCACAACCTTTCAGACGCCCGTCTTGGGACGCTTCCCTCCCATGTCCGCGGGAGTAGGTTGGGGCCTCAGCTTCCTGCCGGGGGGCCCACTGGGAGTCAGCAGACCATGGCCCAAGTACTTGAATTCCTGCCAGCTCTGCGGAAGACCTGCATGAGTTCCTGGCTCCTGGCTTTAGTCTGGTACCCAGCTGGGGCTGTTGCACGTGTTTGGGGAGTGAACTGGCACAGGGGAGATATCTCTCTCTCTCTCTCTTTCTCACTCTCTCTGTCTGTCTCTGCCTTTCAAAACAAGTGAAGATAAACAGAAACAAAAAGCCTTCCCCGAGAACTGAGGGAAGCCTTTGTGTGGGTCCCCAGCTCCTGGCCCCGCGACTGGCATTGGCTGGCTGGTGCAGGGCAGTGTTGTTCAGGGCTCTGGGCTGTGCCTGTCTGTCACAGGATGTTGGGGGTCTCCAACCAGCTCAGACTGGGGAGCACAGGGGCATAGCAGGGGAGCTGTGCAAGAGAAAGAGGTGGTCCATGCCTCAGTCCTGTGTCTTAGGTCACGGGCACCTGCTGGGCTGCACCAGTCCTGCTGCCCGCTAGGCATGGTATGTCAGAGCATGAGGTGGTGCTGCTTGTTGCCCGCAGAGCCTAGGAAGAGGCCTGTGGACATGTGTGTGTGTGTGTGTGTGTGTGTGTGTGTGTGTGTATGATCCTGCTGTTTGCCCTAAGTGACGTATGGGCTTCCCACCCTGGGCAGTCTGGCCACAAACCATGAATCCACACAGTATCTCTCTGCTGGCTGTCAGGCAGAGTGAGTCCTCGCTGATATGATAGCTTCAAGGTGGCAGAGACCCCATGTGGCCTTTGTGCTCCTCCCCTCGCTCTTGGCTGTAGCCATGTCATTCGGGAAAGGAGGCCAGCCTTGCCCCTGTCCTCAGTTTATGCGGTGCCCGTGGCTCCACGTGGCCTCTCACCCATGTCCGTGTGTCAGATCAGCCACCAAGTCCAGGTCTGTGGTTGCAGGGGAAGCTGCCCGTCCTGCTGCTGGGCCGATCCTCGGAGCTGCGGCCGGGAGAGTTTGTGGTCGCCATCGGGAGTCCATTCTCCCTCCAGAACACCGTCACCACAGGCATTGTCAGCACCACGCAGCGCGGCGGCAAGGAGCTGGGGCTCCGCAACTCAGACATGGATTACATCCAGACGGACGCCATCATCAACGTAAGCCGCCTGGGGCTGGGGATGAGCCTGGGCCTGGGGATGAGCCTGGGGCTGGGGCTGGGGATGAGCCTGGGCCTGGGGATGAGCCTGGGGCTGGGGATGAGCCTGGGGCTGGAGCTGGGGATGAGCCTGGGCCTGGGGATGAGCCTGGGCCTGGGGATGAGCCTGGGTTTGGGGCTGGGGATGAGCCTGGGGCTGGGGCTGGGGATGAGCCTGGGTTTGGGGCTGGGGCTGGGGCTGGGCTCTGGGCCTGGGGCTGGGGCTGGGGTTGGGCTCTGGGGATGAGCCTGGGCCTGGGGCTCTGGGCTCTGAGGCTGGGCTCTGGGGATGAGACTGGGGCTGGGCTCTTCCAAACGCAAGGCAGGCTTGGGAGCTGGGACTGGTCCCAGGGACTTCCTCAGAACTGCCAAAGCAGAGAAGAGACTGAATGTTGCTGGTTTTCTGATAGCGGTCCCTGGGGCCTCCTACCAAGGGGACCTTGGATTTGGTAGAGGGGTCCAGCTGAGGGTGCCCAGGGCCCTATGGGCAGGAGGGCCACTTACCCCACATGGGCCGGTGACCCTGATGCTGTGGGACGTGAGCCTTGTGTGGTCTGTGCGGCACAGCCTCAGTGTGTGGCCTGCCCATGAGGCCCCACCCACTGCCTAGGCAGAGTCTGTGCAGAAGTACATTCTGGCACAGCCTGATGGCACTGATGATGCTGAAAAGCAGGGCTCCGCCCGCCCCCTGAGTGTTCGTTTGACAAATAATGAACCCTGTCGTTTGGCTGTCTCTCCTGGGCATTGATCCCACAATTCCTTGCAGCCTATCCCATGTCCCAGAACTCAAGGGAGGTGGCTTGCATTCCTAGAGGCAATGCTGGGGTCCCTTGGAGGGGTCCAGGCAGCTCTGTGAGTGGACAAAGACCCTAGCATTGCTTTCACAGCCAGAATTTCTCACTGGGACACACCCAGCACTTTCCAGAACTTGTTAAAAACTTTGTACCAGCAGCAAACCAAGGGAATACGTGGGTCCTTGAGACACTGCTCAGATAGGGAGGTCCATTGGTGTGATGCCAACGCGTGACTTCTCTGTTTCTCTTTGATTTCAGTACGGAAACTCTGGAGGCCCCTTGGTCAATCTGGTAAGGCCTGACAATGCCTTTGCTAAGTCATGCCCTTTTCCCTTCTCCTTCCTCCCTACGTCTCCCCCAGCTTGCCAAAGCACTCCCTGTAATTCATCTAAAGCAAGCAGTGTGAGTGGATCATGTGTTTGCAGACTGCTACTTGATGGTCTCAGGGATACATCTGAGCTGTGGTCCTGGCTTGCCGGGTCAGAGGCCAAGGGCACAGTGCTGGTGCCCTGAGGATGGCCCAGAAGTGGCCTTCAGCCTTCTGTACCTCCTGTCCAGGGACCTCCCCATCAGACCTGGCAGGGATGGGGAAGTTAGTGGCTCAGGAAGATGGTGGTTCTGCTGCTTGGGCAGGGACGCTGTAGTAGAGAATGACCCGTTAGATGGCAGACAAGGGGTGTCTACATAGGAGGGAATGAAGGCCCAGGAGAGCTATGCCTCTGGAGGACCCTGAGGGGTTAGGTGCCAGGTCCCCGACTCACAGGGCCTCTGTGAGGAGTGACGGACACGCGTGCTCCTGCCATCCCGAGGCTGTCAGGAAGGGGAGCAGCAGAGGTGGGCAGCCCCCTAAGGAACTTCGGGAAATGGAGTCTGAGACAGGTGCCAGCATTGCTGTGTTTTCGTAACGTGTCTGCCGCCCCCTGCTCTCTGACACAGCTCCAAGCACCTTCCTCCCTTTCCATATTGCTCTGCAGGACGGGGAGGTGATTGGCATTAACACTCTGAAGGTGACGGCTGGCATCTCCTTCGCAATCCCCTCTGACAAAATCAAGAAGTTCCTCACCGAGTCTCATGATAGACAGGCTAAAGGTAGGTGGATCCAGCTGGCCAGGGCGTCAGCTTCCCCGGGGACGCTCGTGGGAAGGGAAGGACAGCCACGGCTTGGGTCTGGCCCCTGCTGTCTTGCGATCACAGAATTGTGGGTCGGACAGTCCCAGGGCATGTCCGAGTGGTCACTGGATCATTCATTTATGTCATCCCAGCCCTTCCCCAATGAGGTGCAGTTGCTCCAGCTTGGCTGAAGGGTCAGCTGGGATTCAGGGACATTATTTGGCCTGCAATTTACTCACTCACTTGCTCCCAGTCAGCTAGGTTTGGGCAGGAGACAGCTCCACAGGGGCCTTCACAGGTGACCCTGCTGTTACACGGAGGGCGGATGGCAGGTCCAGGAAGCCAGTGAGTGGGCCTGGACTGTATTTGAGTGCTGGGAACAGGGACGTGCCTGATCTGCCTTACAGGCCACTGGCCAGGAGGAGAGACAGTGAAGGGCTCTGTCCCTCATCCACACTGGAGACTTGAGGGCTTGGACCAGGGTGGAAGCAGTGGACGTGGAGCACAGGGCAGAGACTGAGTGGCCTGGAGATGGGCTGGAGGTCAAGATGAGCCAGTGGGGATGGAGGGGTTGCTCCTAGGCATCTGATTGGTAACAGGTGACAGGACTTTTCAAAGGCCTCTGGTAGGGAGGGTCAGATCACCAGAATGCACCACACATGGTTCCCCTTCTGCACATTGGTCTGACCCCTGGCAGCCATGTCCCCCACGCACCTGAGCTCATCTCTCCCCCTTTGTCATCACTCCAGGCAAAGCCATTACCAAGAAGAAGTATATTGGTATCCGAATGATGTCGCTCACGTCCAGGTGGGTACATGGGACTAGTGCGTCTGTGTCTTAAATATAAATGCCTGTGAACTTGAGAGGGCTTTCACAGAAAGAATCCAGGGGCTGCCTTAAGTGTGCTCAGTTTCTGCTTCAAGTCAGGCCATGTGAGACGGAGGAGGAGCTGAGCCGGGTCTCCAGGGTTGAAGAGTCTGCCTCCTGTCAGAAGGCTGCTGGTAGCTAGGGGGTGGGCCACTCTCAAACCAGCTGCGACCCACATTCCAGGAGTGCCAAACACCCTCCCCCACGTGCAGCTCCTAGCCACCTGGCTGTGGGCTGTGGCTGCAGGAATGCAGGCCAGGCCCAGCCCCAGGAGGCCGGGCCCTGCACAGATGGGCAGGACTTCCTGGAACAGTTGGCGTTGTTAGACTTACCACATATTGCTGTTTTCACGTGGGTGAGATCTTGCAGTTAGCATGAGTCCTGGTAGCTGAGTCAGGCGGCATGGCCGAGAGAACCGTAGGCCAAGCCTGCAGGGAACAGAATCTGGTGACAGATGTATGGCCATGCTAATCATTGTCATTCATTATGGGCACACGGTTAACAGGCTAGCATCATTGAGTAGCTTTCTTAACATTCTAGACGATGGAGATTTTGCAGGACTGAGAAATGCCTGGTTATGAGACAGAGGCAGGGAAGGAGTGGAGGCCTTGGGGTCTGTCCTCCCGTGTTCTCCACCCAGCCCTGATGCCTCGAAGTTAATGGCCTTGGGAATGACTCGGCTTTGGCTTGCTTCCGTGTCCTGCTCTGTGGGAAGAGGACACAGTGCTGGCCTCCATGCCGTGCAGCCAGGGCTGGCATCATGAGTGGTAGCAGTGATACCAGCCATGTTTATTACATGCCCACTCTGGAGCAGCTGTGGAGCCAGATGCTTGTCCTTAATACGCTGGTCCAATCCTCTCGAGGTCAATGTACTGTCATTGGCCATGCTTTACAGGTAAGGGGATGAAGGTCCAGACAGGAAAGCAGCTTCCAAGGTCTTGCAGCTAGCTGACCATCATCCCAAACTGGCTCTGTAAGTGGCAGGTGCAATTCACAGATGGAGAAGCAATTGTGAGAGCAGAGACTAAAGATTATCACCCTTCCCTTGCTGGTACCCAGCAGTGTTTGGACACTCAGTGTCAGAACTTGGAGGAGGAGTTTGGCACTGGCCCCGGGGAAGAGTGGGTGGGAGCTGAGAGCTGGCGGAGGAGAAAGGCCTATGGCTGCCTGATGTTAACCCTGGCATCTCTTCCTGGGAGCAGCAAGGCCAAAGAGCTGAAGGATCGCCACCGTGACTTCCCGGACGTGCTGTCGGGAGCGTACATCATTGAAGTGATTCCAGACACTCCGGCAGAAGCGTAAGTCACAGCTCCTTCCCCTCCACTGGGCTCCTGGTGGAGCCTGTGGACTGCGCAGGGAGGGGGCAGTCTTCTCCGATACAGGCTCCTTGACCATGTTGATCCCATGGCCGCTTCCTGCCAGCCAGGCCTCCCCACACCTTTGGGAGGAACTTGTGGTCTTCAGAGAGCTTTGCGTCAGTAAGGGATCCTTCAGGTAGAGTGAGCAGCAGTGGCTGCCTGGCGAGTCCTGGAAGCCTGCCATAAAGGAGAGGGGAGGGCTCCCCTGAAAGCATGGCCCGGTTGTGCCTGTGGCCACTGTGGCCAAGCCTGTGGCCTCCTCTGCAGAAATAAGAGGGGTGACCGCAAAGGAACACAAACAGCAGGAAGTTGGGGCTCATCGCCAGGCTCACATCTCAGCAGAGAGAAGTGCCAGGGGCCTGCACTGTGTCGCCAGTAGAGCCTGGCCTGTTCCCCACCCTAGGCACCTCCCATGGTCCAAGAATAGCTTTTGCATTTGAAAGGTATTTATTTATCTCATTTGTTTGAAAGCCAGGAGAGTGAGAGAGACAGAGAAGAGAGAGAAAGAGCCAGAAATACTCTCCTATGCTCTGATTCACTGCCCAGAAGCCCACAAGCAGCCCGGGCTGGCCGGGGCACAGAGACTCAGTCACTCCAGGGTCTCCCGTGGGGGGTCCAGGAACCCACCTACTCGAGTCACCATCTGGTGCCTCCCGGTGTGTGTGGCACTAAGAAGTTGGGAGTAGACTAGGAGCCTAACCCGGGCACTCAGATGTGGGATGTGGTATCCTAATCACTACCCAAACACCTCTGCCTTGTGTGCTGGGAAAATTACCAAGTGAGAACAGGCCTTTGTGACTTGTGAAAAGTATGTGACGTTTCTGTGGGAACAGGTGTTTTGTCGGAACACAGCTGCCATGCCCATTTGATTCCATGCCGTCGGCACTGGCTTTGGCTGGCCTCGGTAGCTACCCTGGAGACCCTCTGACCTTCAGAGTCTGAACTCATTCCTGTCTGGCTGGTTACAGAGCAAGGGTACACCCTCCGTGTTGACTCTAAGGACCATTAACAGCATGTTGGCAATATCCGGTATAGGAACTAAAGTCACAGGGGCAGTGAGAGAAAGTCTCTTGACAGGAGTGTCCATTTTGAAGGAGCTCCTGTCTGAGGTCAATGCCTGTTGCAGGCAGGTGGGCCATGGCTGCAGCACCTGGCACATGGCACCTGCTGCTTCCTTGTCCCCTTTGGGGTCAGTCTGTCATAAGGCCACACAAGTACTGGCAGGCATTTCTGCCAGGAGCAACAGTGGACAGCTTGGCCTACACAATCTGAGAAGGACACATAGTACCTGCATGGTATGTGCCATCCTTACCCTGCCAGGATGCCCTGAGCTCCTCTGTTCAAAGCTATGCCTCTGTTGGGGTCGAGTCCACCCAGGAGGTGCAGACATGTGACCCCTGTGCACCCCTCTGTGTTGCAGCGGTGGCCTCAAGGAAAACGATGTCATCATTAGCATCAACGGGCAGTCGGTGGTGTCGGCCAATGACGTCAGCGACGTGATTAAGAAGGAGAGCACACTGAACATGGTTGTCCGCAGGGGCAACGAAGACATTATGATCACAGTAATTCCCGAAGAGATCGACCCCTAGTCAGGCAGGGGCTGGAGTTGACCTTCCCCCCAGACCCCCTGCGGTGGACGGTGCGTGGGGACTCTGGTCTGGCGAGGAGCGACGCCCACGACGTTGGACCGCCCTGTGGCTTGCTGGGGCGGGACTCGCCGGCCAGTGGAATCCCTCTTGATCGGTTGCAGGCAAAGCCGACGATGTGCTGCTGTGGATGTGCAGGCAGCAGCCGTGCCCCTGTCCTCTAGGTTGCAGTGTGCTTTTGCTCGCGGCTTGGGCAGTTCCTGCTTAGCCAGTCCACTCTCATCTCCTCCCCTAACCGAGCCGGCATCCTATTCTGATTAGTGCAGTTGGTCCCACACGTGGCAGGGAGGGAGGCCCCCTGGGCAACCGACACGTCCTGGGCACACACGTGTGTCTCTGCAAGTCAGCACCCAGGGGAGGGTGGCCCGCGGAGACTGGGGCTGTGGGCAAATGCTGCTTTTGAAACGGCCAGAGTTGCCCTTTTTGAGGGGTCTCTTCAGACTTGGGAGCACCATGACTTTGAGTTTGAGCTATTAAAATACTTCTTCATACTTTGCTTCCCAGCGTGATTCTTTTCTGTTCGTGGACAGCTGGTTTCTGTCATAATGAAATGATTAGACTGTCAGAGGTCATCTCATTAAATCACATTGTTCATGCAGGGTGGAGTGTCCAGTCTTTTTTTTTAAGGAGTAATCATTGCTTATTAGATTTTTTTTAAAGTTTGTTTTTGTTAATTTAAAAGATCCAGAGAGATCTTTGATCCACTGCCTGACACTCCAAATTCCTGCAGCACCCAGAGTGACACCAGGGCCACAGCCAGGAGCCAGGAATTCCTTTTGGATCTGTCAGTGGGGCAGGAACCCACAGGCTGAGCCATCACCTGTTGCCTCCCAGGGGGTGCATTGACAGGAAGCTGGAGGGGGCTGCACATTGGCTCAACTGGCTAATCCTCCACCTCCAAGCACCAGCATCCCATATGAGCTCCAGTTCATGTCCTGGCTGCCTCACTTCCGTTCCAGTTCCCTTGTGACCTGGGAAAGCTGCACCTATGTGGGAGACCTGGAAAAAGCTCCTGGTTCCTGGATTCACCTCTGCTCAGCTCCAGCCATTGTGGCCAATAAAAATAAACACTAAAATAAAGAATAGAAAGCTGGATCCTATTGACAAGTGGGATTCTATCCTGGGTACTTTGGCATGGGCTATAGGCATCCTGATCAGCGGCTTGGCTAGCTGAGCCACAACTGGACCTTGACCTTGGACCTTTCTGAGCAGGGGCTCCCTTAGACATGTCTTTGAACAGGTGCAGTCTGAAGCAGCCAGAGGAGGCTTTCCAAGGGCTTGAGGAGCTACATCCAAGAAGATTGTTGCAAAACTTCAGCTTGGAGAAGCCCAACACACACTTTAGCTGGAAATTTGCATAGGCCTCAGTCCCCGTGGGAAGCCCAGAGTGCGAACAGGCTGTGTCTGCCAAGAGCAAAGGCCAAAGACTCCAGCACCGGCAGAAGTCAGAAGGAGGGCCTGGCAGGGCGGAGGCGGGGAGAACGGCGTTGCCTGTAAGATGAAGGCCACACATGTTCTCAGCGCCAGGAACTGGGGTCAAGGTAGTGGCCTGAGCAACAGAACGACTTGTGGCTCCATGCTGCCTTGGTCCTCCCTTTACTCCGGGGTCAGGAAGGAGCCAGGGTGTCCTCCTTTAACATTCCCCCCGTTCCTTGCAAAAGGTGAGGGGAGTCAGGGTGACCGTGGCTTCAGCGAGGTGCCAGGGGTGCTGCCGCAGGTGGGCCCATGGCATTAAGATCAACGCCAGCCACAGCCCACACCCATGTGTCTTGAGCCTGTCTGGCATCCTCTGCTGGAAGAGCTCAGCTGGCCGGGGTTCTATAAACACAGCAACATCTTCCGAGAGCCACAGCATTCTGAGTGGGGGCAGACCAGTGTCTGCAGATGCAGACCCCTGCAGGACCACAGACATGGCTGCTTGGTGATTGTTGGCATGCTTGTGCTTTGTTGCCTGGTTGCACAGACCGTGGGACCCTCTGTCTCCGGGGACTGCTCATCCTGATATAGACGTGCTTGCACTGGAATCCTGTCACTGTCATGTTAACCAGTTGAGCCAACGTGCAGCCCCCTCCAGCTTCCTGTCAACGCACCCCCTGGGAGGCAACAGGTGATGGCTCAGCCTGTGGGTTCCTGCCCCACTGAGAGATCCAAAAGGAATTCCTGGCTCCTGGCTGTGGCCCTGGTGTCACTCTGGGTGCTGCAGGAATTTGGAGTGTCAGGCAGTGGATCAAAGATTTCTCTGGATCTTTTAAATTAATAAAAACATTAAAAGAACTCTTCTAAAGACCGTTAAAAGACAATTTTCTCTGCTCACTTTGGGCTGTGAGGGAGGCTTCAGGAACATACCTTAGCCTTAAAACCTGGAGTTGGAGCACTGAGTCGAAAGAGCAGGGATTTGGGGGCCAGGTGCAGCTGTTTGAGTCCAGGGTCTGTGTTGTATTGACCTTAAGCAAAACAGCTAGCCTCTCTGTGTCCATGAAGATAGTATACCTATTCCCTTAGGGACTAAATGCGTGAAGATACACCTGTTAAGCTCTCAGTTTTAGCAACATTTATGCTAATTGATGTCTGATGTGCTCCCTCAGCTCTAGCTGAGCAATGCCGACCGTGGGAGGAGAGGGGCCCTAGCAGCCAGGGGTCTGTGGAGGCGCCTTCCGGACCCAATGAATGGTCTGAGCAGGTGGCCCTCTGCAGGGAGCATCCTCTTGCACACTTGCCTTTTCCCATCTGAAAACTGGGAGGAATGCACGTGCCTGGGCTTGTGGTGGCGGTGGTATTCGACTATGCACAGTGTAATTCTCTACCTGGAAAACATCTTGGGCCCCAGCCTTGGCCAGCAAGGATCCCTGGTCCATCTTGGCAGGTGCCGCTGAGGTCAGGGCTAAACCTTCAGGAGCTGGTGCAGCAGGGTTGTGGTCCAGGTTCAAGGTTGCTCTGGAAATGGCCTTCCCCTCCTGGGGCTGGTTATCAGTGAATCCAGTGGTTTCCCTGTCCTATCAACACTGACCATTGGAGGGGTGTGGAGTGTGCCGCTTGGGCTGTGGGCTGAGGAGGCTGTGAAGTACAGAGAACAGCCACGCTCAAGGGCTTGTCTGGTGCAGGCAGAGGAATGTGAACCTGTTCTCATCACAGCTGTCAACTCTCCTGCCTCCCACGGCCAGGTCAGTGCTGGCTCCAGGGAGGAGCCTGTGCCGCTGATGACCTCTGGTGTCCAGCAGATCACGCTTTGAGATGCTCACTGTTGGCTACAACCCTGAGCTGCCCATGCTGTGCACCTGTTGGCTGTTGCGCTGGCCTGGGCAGGGCAGGGCAGGTGTCTGAGCTGTTGTAGCAACTCAGCACTGTGGGCTTCCTTGCTGTTCATTCATGGTGAGGGAGGGAATGCAGTGTGACACATCCACACTACTACTGGGAAGTGACCATAGATTTGGCCAGCAGCACCTCCAGGGGGCAGCAGACACTGTTGACCAAGAGTGTGCCTAGCATGTTACACCCACCTGGGTAAGTCTACAGAACCTGAGCCATTACTACCCCACTTTACAGGTGGAAACATTAAGGACAGGAGAGAGGAAATCACTTGCTGGAGATCACCAGTGGGTCCTTGCAGGGAGGGACAATGTCTTGCTGGGGAAGTGTGGAGGTCAGGTGCAGAGCGGGTGGGGGGTGAGGGTGGGGCATCCTTAGGGTGCATCTCAGGTCTCGGGAGGGCATCCTCCTGGGACCTCCCCTTGGCGTGAGCTCTGTGCTCTGCATTCCCTTCTGACCTGATTCTTTTGTAAGGTGGCCCTTCCTTCCAGTCCCCTATGGCTAGGCCGGAAGCAGCTCTGCACCCCGCCTTCTGCCCAGAAGTTGCCGCCAATCTCCTCACCTCTTCCTGCAGGAACCTCAGCTGCCTGCTGCCTGCTCATGACCTGTTGTTCTCACTGCCACATCTGCTGGGTGGCCACTGCCCCAGGGGGAGCTGATGTGCAGTCCAGTCTCGGATGGGCAGACACAGGCAGAAGATAAGGTGTACAGGGTGACCAACGCACTTGCATGCATGGTAGCTGCATCCCATGTGACGCTCAGAGGAAGGGTCCGATGCCACAGCTGCTACAGCAGAGGGAAGTGGTGAGGGGACAACATTGCCAAGGAGCAGTGAATGATCTTAGGAGAAATGGGTGGGTTCAGCGAGCAGATGGTGGGGGCAGAGTTCTGCTCTGCTCCTCTCCGGGAGGGGGGCAAGGCAGGGGGGCAGAGGGTAGCCATGTGCTGTGACTGTGGTGGTCTCACTCTGGAGGTATGGTGATGGCTGCCCCTCCCTTCTCTCTCCCTGGCAGTTCCGCTGACCTGGTCAGTACAGACATGACTCCATAGTGACTGCATGCTGTCTGTGAGGTGACCAGCTCTGAATCGGCTGTGGGCACCACAGAGAGAACTCCCCTGTCTCGAGGAGCCAAGTGCCTGCGAGGCCTCAGATCTGGGCCTGTCTTGGTATCAGCTTGGCGAATAGCAGCGCCACGGGCTGGATACTGAGCCCCCAGGACCAAGTCTAGCTGAGCCGACAAGGTGGGTGTCGGTGAGCTTGGACTCGTCACGGGAGGAGTGGGCCTGCCCCGCTGGACCATCACACCAGCAGCTTCAGGAGAGGCACTCTGGCTATACCTGGTGAGTCTGTTATTTGAGAGGCAGAGAGAAAATGGTAGAAAGCCCCCATCTTCTTGCTCACTCCCCAAATTCCCACAAAGATTGGGGCTGGGCAGAAACTAGAAACACAGCCCGGGTCTCCCCAAGTCACGGCTTCAAATCCCAGCTCTAGGGATCGCTGCCTGTCAGACCAGGGGCAAGTCGCTGGATGTCCCTGTCTGTGACAGGCAGCCAGTGGCACCTGCTGGGGTCAGGAGAGTGTGAGGCCCTACACGCATGCGCAGGCAGGGTTGCCATGGGTCACCCTTGTTGGTGATTGGTGGGGAGCTGCCGCAATGTCAGTGGCCATTCGGGCATCTGGGGAAGCCCGGTGCCCAGGGCTGCAAGAGGCAGGATGAGACGCCACCCCACGCTCACCTCGGTTCACCCCGCTGTCCCTGTGTTTATGTGGGTCTCTCTGATGGTCATTTGCAGTTTATGAATGCCAACCTGAGTGTGCCCGCAGCACTCTCTAAGCTCCAACGTGGCCCCTCCCTGCATTGTCCAGGCCTTGGCAGGTCTGATCTGGGCATATGAGGTGGCTTTCCCGTGAGAGAAGTCCTGGAGACGGTTCCCCCAGAGTCTGTTGTGTGTTGAATTTGAACCTCTCTAACCCGGGAGGGGCGTGCAGCCCGTGGGCAGGCTCCCCTCCGCTTGCCTCTCAGGGCCTGGGGAAATGCCTGGGGTAGGGGTGTGGTGACGTTGCTCTGCCTGGCTCACAGAAAGGAATCCAGCTGCCAGGCAGGATGCAAGTACTTGCCATTAAGCCACACCCGCGTGCTGGCAACACTTCAGAAGGGATTCAGGCTTTTAGGGGCACAG